TCCATCCACGTGGCAGAAGGTGTTCCCCAATAGCTCCTGAGCTTACATGCTCTTGATTTCTGTAGAGAGAGCAAGAGACTGGTTTTCCGATTTTCAGTGCTAGTGTAAAATCTTGAGGAAAGACTCAAAATAACCCAGTGTTGGTCAGGGACCCACCTCTGCACCAATCGATTATAGCCAATGCCCATGTGGATGTGGGGGTGGGATCGGATCTCAGGGAAATTATTTTCCAGAGAAGCTACACACATCATGAGATGGGCAATAGCTGTCTTTTATAAAGATATAAGTTTATGTTTTATTAAAAGGTGGTTTGTAATATTTGTAATTAAAAGACCAAAGAGATTGATGTACTGACAGTTGCTTGGACAATATGCATCCAAATGCTGGCCTTGAGTTTGTAGTTTATATCTAGCTATTATATCCAGATATTGTTACTAATGGCAACTGTGTTTTATAGGATAAAAGGTGTGCTCAAGATAAGTCAATATGTATTGGAGTTTTATAGACTTCTAGTCTGCATTCTCAGCTTCAAGTAGTAGCATATGAATCATAGGCCAATGATGAGAGTTTCAGGAAGATCACCAAGGCCTAACAGTGTAGAGGGGTTAAGGATGAAAATGAGAAGAGGCCACTGGATTAGACCCTGGTACCCAGTGTGGTCCTGAGATAAGCATCAGGGGCATAGTAGCCCCTGAAAACTTGTTAAAAATGTGGGGTCTCAGGCCTCACTTAAGACCTACCATATCAGAATCTGCATTTTAGAAAGGTCCCCAAGTTATTGGTTTTTATTTCCAAGTTTTAGAAGCACTGCCCTAGAAGACCTTTGAGAAAAGAAGCTCACAGGGTGGAGCCAGATTGCAGAGGGTTTCAAGTTAAATTTCTTGATTTTTATTGCTGACCAGAGAGAGTAGAATGAATTCTGGATGTCTTATTATGTGCCCTCAATTTAGCTTTCAGGTTTATTTTCTACCCCTTTCCTACACATTCCATTTGGTTTCTGCTAAATATATCTGCTAACCATACTTGAATATTCCACCTATATTCCCAGTGCCTGGAAATGTCTTCCCCTTGTTTTCTCTACCTATTGAAATCCTATCCATTTTCCAAGGCTTAGCTAGAAAACTATTTTCTGCATAAATGTTTCCCAGATGGCCTCTGCAGCCCCATCCAGCTTTAACATTCTCATTAACATGTGGATGGTGCAAATAATAAAAAATGGCTAACATTTATCGTGTTAATGGTAAATGCCAGACCCAGTTCTAAGCTTTACATGTATTAACATTTTTTAATCCTTACCTCAGCTCCAGGATGAAGAAACCAATGTACTGAGGGTCTAATTTACTTGCCTATATATGGTTGCACAAGTGTGTAACCGTTTCTATAGAAAATCAGGACAGGAGAGGGACTAGGAGAATATTATTCCTATTGACAGACATTTTTAGAAGTTGGAGAGATCAAGTCAAGCATGCTATCCCTTATTATCTTTGTATCTCTTATTAGTTTACATCCCTTAGGGGAACTTTTATCTACAAATGCAACCCTTATAGTCTTCCTGCTAAATAGTATCTTGCTCTTTCCAAATAGTTTCATGTGTGTGGGCACAAATTAGCTTTTAGCCAAAAGAAAATTCTCAATCCATCCAGGGCCTCTGTGTACAGTTGAGCAGATAGATGGTTGCCTGCAAAAGGACTCTGGCCACTGGAGCAAGTGGGAACTGAAATCTAGCCCATGCTCTGATTCATCATTTGTGTAAACCAGAGCAGAGATGTATCCACCTGTGGGGAGGGGGACACACACACATTTTTCTATTTCTCACAAAGACCCCAGATGGATTGGCAGCAAACCTGACAGCAACACTGACTGAATTTACCCAAATTTACTAGAGCTTCCAAGGTCTCTGAGCCTCAACCTCCCCCACTCCCCCTCAGACCCCGTATCATTACACTGTCTGCTCATTCAGGGCTTCAGAAGGTTGTCTTTATGCATGTCTCTTCCTTGGAGCCAGGAACACGGCTCCCCCCAGTCCCTCCATGGTCCCTAAAGACCAGTTTGGGCTCTTCCATGTGTTTCCAAAGCTCATGGGGTTCTTATCTCATGTCATGTAGGGTCCTTTTAGGCTCATTTAGATTTTGCACCCAACTTCAGAGTCTCCTAGGGTCTTTGCTGAAGTCCCCTTGAACCTCTGAGAGATGCTGCTCTTACTAGGAGTTGTTGGGCTCCTTCCTGCAGGCATGCCAGGCCCCATCCACACTGAGTCCCCTCCACAGTGGCATTTCAAGGACTCTCCTCCTCTTGCCTCCCAGAATCTTATACTCATATTCCTCAAAGTCTGTAAGTTCCATTCAGAATGTTTCCTAAAACATTCCCCTTCCATATATCATTTACATGATCACCATGCTGACAGGACACTGATTTGTTTTGCACAATGTACAGGCTACTGCCTCCTCCTCTACGGCCCTCCCCTAGTTCCCTGTATCTTGTAGGTACACACCCCAGTGCGTCTTCAATCACTCTCTCTATATTGTGCATCTCCCTGGAGGAGTTTTAGTCAAATTGTTTAGTCATAGTATTGTGGAAGCAAGTTTTCCAATTTTGCATTAGATACAGTTCCAAGTACTTTGTACAGTTTATCTCATTAATCACTTTCAAGGGGTAAAATAGAAAGTGAAGTGAAAGACCTGTTTGAGGGGAGGGAACCGTGGACTTCGTGGACAGGCTTCCGGGAGAATAGCTATTGAGAGTATATGTGAAATGTGCATTGTACTGATGGGAGAGAGTCCCAGGCTTTCAACCCAAAAAGGTTACTATGAAAGGCATAGGATAACTTTAAATCTTATTTTTTAAACTCCTGATCTTATATATCTTCATTTTCACAAGATTTCTATCTTTTCTTACCCAAACCCACGATAGTTAAAATGCAGTTAAAAGAAATGCCTGAGCAGGCAGTATGCATACTAGTAGTCCTCTGGATTTTAATTTGGACTAGGTAATAAAAGAGCTGATGCACCGGGGGGTAAGCAAGGTTAAAATTTTGATCAAGGAAATTTCTTTTTTAGAATGGGTGCAAAGGGGACACACATGTGATTTGGGTAAATGGCACCTTTGGAAATTTGGGATTTGGGAAACTGCAATTGTTTGATAATAAATAGCAGGTTGTAGTGAAACAGGTGAGCCTTTATGACACATCAAAGGGAGGCTGGAACCCATTATCTGGGTAATTAGGGAGGAAAAATTCCCCTTATTTCAACCACATAGGAGGAAGCAACTCTACTGCTCAAATTAATTATAAAATACCTTTAAGGGATGTGTTTTAAGTAAAATGTAGTCTTATCTTTTTTAAAGAAAGATCTCAAAAACATGAACAAATAAAATATGAATTGCATAACCACATTTCAAATAATTTCTATTTTACTGTCCTTAATTGAATGATATCTTAAATGTATAAGTATAGTAAATGGGTACATGATTCAGTTGCCATGAAACAACTTCTACACATTTTAGGAAAACCTTATTAAAGCAGCCCTTTCTCACCTACCCCCTGCTGCACTCTCCCACCCTATTGACTACGATATCTCAGAGCAACAAGAACCTGGTGTTTTAGGTACACCACAGTAGGTACTCAGAAACATTTGTTGACTGTATTAATGAATAAATATCAGAAGCACAAGCTACAGAATATTATTCTTAGGGTCCATCAGACAACTGATACTTGCAACATGCTTTCTTTCAACAATATTTTCTTTCATTGTAATCATTCAATAAACGAAGTGAAAAAAATTACCTTCAGGTCTAAAATCTCTGCCATATTCTGAGAGAGACCATGATAATTTTTTAAATTTATACACCATTTTTCACTCCAGGACCCCAAAAATGAAAAGATATGTACAAATTATTTTCAAATGTTGTTATGATTAAAGTAGGTGGTATCTTAACATGACAACGAATGAAACAGTATTTCTTATAATTATTCTAGATTTTAACTGATTTTTTTTCTCACCAATTGTCTTTTCCTTTTAAATTCCTTTATGTTTGTGTCAGTTATTTCCATACTTTATTGTGATTTTGTTATATGCTCATTGTAAGCATTCAGTTAGGTCTGTATCTTTTGATGTTATCAATAGTCCTTGTATTAGTTTACTAGGGCTGTTCGAACAATGTTCCACAAACTGGGTGGCTTATAATTTCGAGAATTTCATTGTTTCACAGTTCTGGAGACTACAGGTCTGAAAGCAAAGTACGGGCAGGGCTGGTTCCTTCTGGAGGCACTGAATGTGTTCCATGCCTCTCTGCTAGCTTTCAGCAGTTGCCAACAATCCTCTTGTTCTTTGGCTGCTGTCACATGGCCTTCTCTCCCTATTTGTGTCTGTCTCTGTGTCCAAATTACCTTCTTCTTATGAGGGGACACCACTCGTCGGATCAGGGCCCATTCTAATCCACGATTAGCTCATCTTAACCTGATTACTTCTGCAAAGATCCTATTTCCAGATAAGGTCACATTCACAGATAACAGAGGTTAGAACTTGAACATCTTTTTGGGGGACACAACTCAGTTGTATTTTTCTTTTCATATTGTGTTTCTCATATTCACATCACATATCTCAAGCTATGGTCCTGTGTTTCTTTTCCTTCCAATGTAAAACTTTGTGAAAAGTTTCTCACTCAGTTTTCAACCCAATGCAATTGGCATATCTGACTTTCCCTTTCTGCTGAAACTATTAACTACTGGGCTTCATTCCTAATTTTACTTAATATTTGTGGAGTTTCACATCTCTGACCAGTTTTTCTTTGTAAAATTGTCTCTGCTGTTTTCTTTTACCCCCTTCTTCATATCTCATCACTTTTTAATTGTCTCTCTTCTTTCCCTTTCCTCAAAAATTGATGTTCAAGATGAAGTAGGTGAACACGGTGCTTACCTCCTCCCATGACCACATCAGAATTACAACTAAACTACAGAACAACCATCATTCAGAACTGCCTGAAGTCTAGCTGATCAGAACCCTTCAACTAAGGATATAAAGAAAAAGCCACATTGGGACTGGTAGGAGGGGTGAAGATGAATGGGCTGGCCCCACACCCGCGTGTGGCAGATAAAAACTGGGAGCATTATCTTGGCTGTGCAGGTGCCCCCTGAGGAGCCAGGGATCTCATCTCCCAGCGAGCCCCCCAGCCCAGGGTTCCAGTGTCAGGAAGAGAAGTCCCCATAACCTGTGGCTGTGAAAACCAAGGAGGCTGAGATGGTGGCTGAGTGAGACTGAGGGCTGCTGAACTCCCAGGCCTTCCTCTTAAAGGGCCCACACAAGGACTTATTTAAACTCACTGGCTCTGAGCTCCAGCACTGGAGCAGAAGCTCAAAGTCCCCAGAGACATAGGAGGAACTGAAGTGTCTCGCTTTGGGTGAGGGCTGGAGAGACAGCTTTCTTCCAGACAGACGTGCTGGCTGAGGTCATTGTTTCTTTGCTGAGCCCTCCCTCTGCAGGCACAGGCCTGGCCATATCTGAGTCTCCATCAGCCTAACACTGTTAGCCCCACCCTGATGATTCCCTGAGACCCCGCCCCCTCAACTTGCTGTCTTACTTATGCTCTCTGTAAGAGATTCATTTTAGGTCCAAGGACACACAGACTGATAGTAAAAAAAAAATCTAAAAAGATATTTCATGAAAATGGAAACAAAGAAAATGCTGGGTAGCAATACTTATACCAGACAAAGGCTATAACAAAGACAAAGAAGGACCCAGCAATTCAACTTCTAGGTATTTATCCAAAGAAACCCAAAATGCTAAATCAAAAAGACATATGAACCCATATGTTCATTGCAACATTATTTACAACTAGAGGCCTGATGCACGAAATTCATGCAAAAGTAGGCCTTCCTTCCCCTGGCTGCCAGCACCGGTTTCCATCTGGCACCTGGGACCCAGGCTTCCCTTGCAGTCCCAGCTTCGTCTGGAAGGTCATCCGGAAAGACGTCCAGAAGGACATCCAGTCTAGTATATTACGCTTTTATTATTATAGATAGCTAAGATTTGGAAGCAACTTGAGTGTTCATCAAGAAATTAATAAAAAAGAAGTGGCCCCGGTTGGTTTTGCTCAATGGTTAGAGTGTTGGCCGTTGGACCTAAGGGTCACAGGTTCGATTCTCAATCAAGGGCATGTACCTTGGTTGCAGGTTCCATCCTCAGCTCCGGTCAGGGCTTGAGTGGGAGGCAACCAATCTATGTGTTTCTCTTATGTTGATGTCTCTCTCTCTCTCCTTCCTCCCTCCCTTCCACTCTCTCTATAAAAGTCAGTGGAAAAAAATATCCTCTGATGAGGATTAAAAAAAAAAGAAGTGGTGCATAAATACAACAGAATATGATTCAGCCATAAAAAAGAATGAAATCTTGCCATCTGCAACAACATGGATGGACTTAGAGGATATTGTGCTGAATAAAATAAGTCAGACAGAGAAAGACAAATGCTATATGATTTCACTCATATTTGGAATCTATGTAAAAAACAAAGTAAATGAACAAGCAAAACAGAAACAGACTCATAAATACAGAGAACATTTTGACAGTTGTCAGATGGTAAAGTGTTTGGGAGGATGGGTGAAAAAGGTGAGGAGATTAAGTACAAATTGGCAGTTATAGAATAGTCATGGGGATGCAAAGTACAGCATAGGGAATTTAGTCAATAATATTGTAATAACTATATATGGTATCAGATGGGTATTAGTTTTATCGAGGTAAAGACTTCCTAAGTTATATAAATGTCTAATCAATGGGTTCTACACCTGAAATAATCTAATATTGTACATAAACTGTAATTGAAAAAAAAATTACATTCTTCAGGGTTCTAAAGTTCTCTGCCCTACGCCCTCTGTTATCTCCCTGAACAAGCCCATCTGCTTCCTGGCTTCAGCATTATCCATTTGCAGATACTGTTGGATCTATATATCCAACTCCTTTGTGCCCCGCAGACAATTTCTAACAGAAAAAAAGAACATGGAATCAAGAGTCACGTGGAGTCTAATGATTTTCAAAATTGTTTCAGAGCTAAATTTTGAAACTGATATTAGACCCTCAAGTACCATTTTCTCTTTTTATGTAGTTGCACCCATCCTTATTTTGAGTTCAGTCTTTCCATTCATTCTTTTTGCTGTCTTAAGAAGTCACAAATGAATTTCTCCGGGTGTTTGTTTGGGTTAGGTGGATCCTACCTAATTATCTAGCCAATAATTTTAATAAGACAAGTGGGAAACTGCAAGATAAATTTTAAGTACTAACTTTTATTGAATAATTACTGAGTGCAAAGCACCTTCCTTTGCTTAAATCATTTATATTAATTTATAATTTCTTGAAGATGAGGGAAGTGAAGCTCAGAGATATTAAATAACATGCTTGAGGCCAGTGACAGAGCATGGACTCAAACTATGTTCTCTTTGCTTTCAAAACTTATACTCCTACCCACTACCCCATAGTGTGCAGAAGGAGAAATCAGGTTGGCAGCCGCATACAGAGTATTACCTTCATAAGGCCTCCTGTCCTTTTGGTTGGGTTAAATATTGTAGCTGCTCTGGAACTTGAATATTGATGAACAGACAGGGTTTGCCCTTGGTAGAACAGGCCATTTCTTGTTTTAGCTTGATCTTTAAATATCAGCCATAGCACAAGTATGAAATCCTCCATATTAATCAGTAGGGGGTCTATCCGCATCAATGGGTGACCCCTTTACTTCCAGCCCCTACAGGCAATTGATTAGGAATGAACTGAGTCTTAATCCTCAGGTGATTGGTAATTGAACCCGTATGTAACTAGACACCAGAATGACTTACTAGAGTGAGAACAGCCCCAAAACAGATTGAACAAACAAACCTGTTTGTGACAAATGAGGGAAGTTAGGTTGCATAAAATAGGTATAGGTATCTTGAGCCTTTTTGTTTGCATGAATCTGGTAGCAAGGGTGAGTTTAGTTGACTGTCCAGAAAAACTAGAATGGACTATTGTAGGAGAAAGATATAACATTGGAGAAAGAATAATAAAATGTATGTTTCAATAAAATTGAATGACACCTAAAATAGAATTATGGCTAAAAGTTTTACAGAGAAAGAGAGAGAGAGAGAGAGAGAGAGAGAGAGAGAGAGAGAGAGAGAGAGAAGAAGAAGAAGAAGAAGAAGGGAAGGGAAGAGAGGAGAGGGGAGATATTGAGAAAGAGAGATGAGACATGCCATAATGCTGTTTCTTTGGAAAAGTTACCAATATTTATGGGTCATCAAGTGTACCAAAATCAGAGTAATACAATTATGGGAAACATTAGTTTTTATTGTTGTTGTTGTTTTTATAGTTATTTTGGAGAATCATTATAGAGATAGATTAAAACACTTTGAGATAAATTAAATTACAAGTACTTCTCCAAAGATGCGCGTCCTTCTAGGGCAGTGGTTCTCAACCTTCCTAATGCCTCGACCCTTTAATACAGTTCCTCATGTGGTGACCCCCAACCATAAAATTATTTTCGTTGCTACTTCATAACTGTAATTTTGCTACTGTTATAAATCATAATGTAAACATCTGATATGCAGGATGTGTTTTCATTGTTACAAATTGAACATAATTAAAGCATAGTGATTAATCACAAAAACAGTATGTAATTATATACGAGTTTTCCGATGGTCTTAGGCGACCCCTGTGAAAGGGTCATTCGACCCCCAAAGGGGCTGTGATCCACAGGTGGAGTACCGCTGTTCTAGGGCAATACATCTGCTTGGCTCCTTTATCAGTGAACAAACTAAAAACTCCATTCAGTACTTGTGCATACCTTTAGATGGCGCTGTCTCTCTATAATTTTGGCAATATGCTAAAAAGGAAAGGCTTTCGGCAGACTTTCTGTAGAAGTGTGTTAATTTCTAATTAGATACCACTGTTGTAAAACATTTGGAACAGGTGCCTTGCATAGATTGTAGAGAATTATACATCTAAAAATTATAGAGGACTGTACTTTTGAATTAATTTTTAAATTTAATCATTATTCTTAGTTTATGAAAAAATAGGTTTATGTATCTAAGAGATATGGAAGAAACTATGTTGCTATAATATTTATTTTCTCTGTGGTGGTCTTGCTTTCTTAATTAAAGTGGAGTTCTGGAATAAAACAAAAATTGTTAGTAAGCTTAGCATAAATGTCATATTGCTTGCTTGTAGGTCCTGGAGACTACCTTGTAAAAATGAAACTTCTAGAGTGCATCATTTTGTTTCTCTAAAGTTTCAGTGTTAGACTGTATATTACTCTCATAGTAAATTATAAGCTGTGAACAGGACCTAGAGTGCTAAGTGTACATTTCTTTTAATTTATCTCTCTGAAGTAGTCACTCATAATGCCATTACTTGTTTTAATCCACTGGACTTTAACATAAGAAAGTGAGATATATGAAAATATATTTTTCTTGAACATAAATTTCAAACATGATTTTTTTAATTTTTAATTTTAGATTTTGTGGAGTTAGTTAATAGGAAATACCAGAAGTCCTTGCTCATGTAAATGAACTTTTAACCACAAGATGGTAGTATAACTTTCCCATTTTAAAATTTTTTAAAAATGTTTATGAAGTTAAACAAATTATTTCTTCTCTTTTAATGAGAAATCTATGCAGCTATGACATTTTAGGAAAATTATAAAGAAGGTGAATATTGAAACTACTTACTATAAGAAATACTAAGCCTCTTTAGTATTTTTTTCATTGAGGAATTTTAGCTATACTAAGAAAATATTTATATTAAGTTGAAAGTAGGAATGTGATATCAAAACTGTAAGACATATAAGCATCTTTCTTCTACAGAGCAATATAGTCTCGTGTTTGCCTGCTTGAATATCAAGAAATGAGACTTTTTTCCCCCTACTGTTTCTTTCATGTTTTCATGGAGATCTGTATTGGCCAATACCTTCTGCTCTTTTGAGCACACATGCTGGACATTAGAAGGTCAACAGAGAAACAAAGAAGGGGAAAAAAGAAAGAAAAGTAGAGATACTGGCACCCCAGTTATTATTATTATTTTTCAAAAGCAATGGTAATAATGTCTATGTGACCCTTGCTGGATTTATATATTCCATAGTTTAAAAATGTATTATCTGTCCATTCAATAGTAGGTATTTAAATAGCCATTATCCATTATTATATGTATTAAAGGTGTTTTCATTGGCATGCTTACATACTCCATAGTATTATGTTTCACTCTACATCGATGCTTTTCACAATTACTTTAGTTTTTTGTGATTAATTAAAAAGAGTATACTGGATCTATTTATTGTTTTTTAAGTCTTGCGAATAGTGAGCCCCCTTTAGGTAAAGACCAAATCTTTGTTTATTTTTTTTTTTTATCTCCAGGCCTAGCATAGTGTTTAGACTATAATAGCCACTCAATAAATCTGTTTTTATTCAAATTAAATTTACCACAAAGCAATACGCTTGTATTGAGACCTATTTTGCTTATGTGCCATAAATGTAGCAGAGATAAAAAAAAAATATCTTCTAGTTTAGAAGCCAAGTACTTTGAACTCTTTCTTGGCATTTTATTTTGCCAATTGTAGAAGGAATATTCCTCATAGAAGTGGTAGTTTCACAGAGCATTAAAAGTAAAACTTTTATTTTTTGACCTAAAGTATATCTCAATGCAAATGGTTCTATGCTAAACAGTATGATTTGCTTTCTAGAATGAAATATAGGACATATAACCAATATAAGATGCATAGTTGCTTCTTGCGTGTAACTATATACAGAAATATTTTATACTAGAGGCCCAGTGCATGAAATTTGGGCACTCGGGGGGGGGGCGTGGATCCCTCAGTCCGGATTGTGAGAGGGTGCAGGCCAGGCTGAGGGACCCCACCAGTGCATGATCGGGGCTGGGGAGGGACGCAGGAGGTTGGCCAGCCAGGGCGGGACTGTGGGAGGGCTCCAGGGTGTGTCCGATCTGTCTCGCTCAGTCCCGATCAGCCAGACCCCAGCAGCAAGCTAACCTACTGGTCAGAACATCTGCCCCCTGGTGGTCAGTGCATGTCATAGTGAGCGGTTGAGCGGACTTAGCATATCATTAGCATATTATGCTTTGATTGGTTTAACGGACCACCAGATGAACGGACAATTAGCATATTAGGCTTTTATTATATAGTCTGGCCCTCCAACGGTCTGAGGGACAGTGAACTGGCCCCTTATTTAAAAAGTTTGAGGACCCCTGTTCTAGAAGTGAACATACACATATAGATCTTACCGCACCTATAATACTATCTGTGACTACATCCTATTATATTAAAGACTAGAGGCCCGGTGCACAAAAATCATGTGTGTGTGGGGGGAATCCCTCTATGCCGGCCTGCACCCTCTCACAGTTTAGGAGCCCTTGAGGGATGTCCCCTCAGGGAGCGGGCCTACACCGTCAGTTGGACATCCTTAGCATTGCTGCGGAGGGGGTAGAGGGTCCCCCCCCCGCCTCTGCATTGTGAGCCCGGCTTCTGGCTGAGGAGCTCACAGGCCAATATCCCTTATGAATACAAATGC